AAATTATTACGATCGTGAAAAGTTTCGAATCTGAGTTTTCTACGGAAATTCATGTTTGAGGTCGCCTGAGTCCAAATAACCAAATCCCGCAAAATGATCTGTGTGAGTGTGTTTATGAATGTAAACAGTCTAGCCAAAAACGAAAAGTGAAATTGCAAATTTAAGTTTTGTATTTACCTGGGATATTACAGCAACTTTTTCGTAAAAATCGGCCAACCGGAAGTGTCACTTAATATAATCGATTTTACACATTTTTTTTTATTTTCTCGAAAACGGATGTAACGATTTTGATTAAACTACGTGTATCAATGTATACATTAATGTATACATTTTTTTTTTTTTTTTAACTTTTATTATGATATTTACAACTGTATTAGTATGAATACATCTAGTAAATTTTTTGTTGAGAAACTACCCACTGGTAGCACTCTATATGTATACATTAAGTACTCTTTAATATCATGTAGGTCTCTTATCCTTATTGATGTCTCTTAACGGGGCTTAAATGCCAAATATGTTCAAAATTTCTTCCTCTAAAGTACCTTAATTTGGTTTATTTTAACTATCTCTCTTTGTTAAGGAGCTATGAAAGAAGGCTAAATATAACTTTTGAACGAATTTGATAAGTGAAAGTTGTGTGTTGAGCGCACCAAAGTTTTTTTTCCTGTATCCTTGCTAATCAGTTGTTTTAAGTAACCTTTCTTTCCTTATGGATGTTTTTGGATGGCTTGATTAGATGTCAATAGATTTTTTTTCTCTTTCTTTTTGCATCTATGTGATCTTGTTTTTTTTCTGCTGTGATAATGTCTGAATTGAAGAAACGTTGTAAAGTTAACCGTTCACTTGTAATTTAGAGACCAGTGGCTTTATAGTTTGGATTGTTCCATTCATTATCTCTCTTTTCGAGCATTTTTCCTTATTTTTGTATATTTACGTTCAAAATTATCTTTGACTAACAAACTAGCTCTCTATGAAGTTTTACCTAAACCAATTTGGACTTATGGCATAGAACTGTGGGATTCTTCTAAAACTTCCAATATTAAAAAAAAATCCAGTCTTTCCAATCCAAAACTTTACGAAGGATAGTTGACGGACCATATTATGTCGCAAACGATAGATTACATAAAGACTTGAACAACGCAACAATTTTAGACACTGCAAAAGAAAACTACAATAACTTTCACATAAATCCTCTGACAGAAAACCTTAAAGGCACTAGAAACCCGTACAGCCCACCTCGGCGATTACGTAGGCGGTAACCAAGAGACCTGCTGAACTGAACTATTTCCTGGATTGTGATGGGGCGCTATGAAGCTGCCAAAAAATTTGCTCATTGCAAAGAAATTTGTATATCGCAAATTTAATTTTTTATGTCCAATTTTATGTTTATTTATTAATAATAATAATAATTTTTGTGTATATAATTTCAATAATTATTGAAACACTGAATTGAAGTGTAGAGTTTGTTTGTTAACTTTTAAGAGTCCAAACATCCTAGGAAACGACCCTGAGAGAACGAATACTTCGCAGTTTTACGCTGCGATATAGAGATTATCCTTGTTAGCCGGGACGGCTTCTAAATATCCGGACTAAAGAGCTGAGAGGACCACCAAATTCCTAAGTGGGCCTGAATGGGAGCCATTAAGGAGGAAAGTGATGACTGGATCGATGGCAAATGAAAAACAAACAGGTTTCCGCTGATGACACAGTGTGGGCCGCCAGGCAAAGGGACCGCTGCGAGCTCAGCACACCTCCCGGTAACTTGAAGCACTGCCTCAGCTCCAACCTTAATATATATCTATCTCTCTCTCTAGTCCCAGCTCTCAACTTCCATCTGCCAGTCATTTATAGAATCAACAATTTAATAATTAAAAACAATAATAAATATCCAGATCACTAGCGGATCCAGGATTTAATTTTGTGGGGGGGGGGAAGGTCTTCAGCCCGAAAGCTTTTTTTTTCATAAAATTGACGATAATTACTTTGGAAAAAAAGAAAGAAACTAACTATCTATATGAAATGGTGTTTAAGTGATATAATACTAAGAGATAATTTTTTAATATATTTTTCCATAAAACATAGTTATATTTTACCATCATGGGGAGAGAGGCTTCAGCCCTAAATCTCTCCCCTCCTCCCCCCCCCCCCGTAGATCCGCCCGTGATTTGAGCAACGAGTAGTACAATTAACTTAACAGTTATATAATTTGTAAAATTGGGATCGGTCAGCCGTTTGGCTAGAAATGAATAATCAATATTAAAAAGGAAATATGATTTAATACGGGATCCAGATCCCTTCGTTGCAAAACATGTTTGTTACAATAAGAAAGGGTGACGACAAACAGAAAGTTTTCTTCAATTCAGACCTACTTTCAAGTTATAAGTTGTAATTAGAGACCGGATTTTCATGAATTAAAAAAACAGGAAAACTTCCAATATAAAATTCAAAATGTGCAAGATCATGTAAACATCATAAATTTTGTTTAATTTATAAGATTACTGCTTGTTTACTCTTATGTTAAGAATCATAGTATAAATTGAAGTTAGGTTAGAATGTTAGAAAAATCTAATTATAATTTAAAATCTACGACGGCTAACTTAATTCTGAATAAAAGCAGTTTAAAAAAAATGATATATATTTTTTTTTAAACGTGCATTTTTTAATTGAGGCTTGATTTCACAGCTATAGATAAAAAAAAAATTATTTTTTTATTTTAATGAAATTTACAACTGTATTACTCGGGAAATACAACAAGTAAATGTGACATTGGTAACATGACTTTTACAACATGAAGAGCAACTACCCATTGGTAGAACTCAAATTAAAGTTCTATATTAGAAGGTCCCGAGGCCATCTTCTTTTCAGACGCCTCGGAGGGTTATCAGGGATCGAGGAGGAAGCAAGGTTTGAAACGACAGGGTTCGGGTGGTTCTGCAGTTTGTTATGGAAGGATAGGTATCTGGATTGGGCCAACTCTGAAACATATGGAACATTAAGGTCTTTATGGATCATTTTATTTGTGACAAAGTAAGGAGCTTTGAGGATTTTACGAAGGATTTTGGATTGTAAGGATTGGATACGAGAGGAATTCGATGGTTTAGTGGAGCCCCAAATAAACAGTGGATTTTGAGTTAAGCTTTTTAGCTTTTATTAAAATCCATAGTCCATCGAGTTAGCCGGCGGTGTTTTAAATTCTTTTGTCAAAGAAGAAGAACAATTGCAAACAAACGTTTGTTAACAAATTAAATTAAATTCTTGGTTTGAAAACTTGAAAATAAGTATACGGATATGGAGCCGTAAACATACGTGGAACCGCGAGTAGCAGAACTATGGGTATATAATGGGCTCTGTAAGTGACTATATACACCTGCATTAAATTAGATTATTAAATATGTTACCTCCAATTATATTATTATTCATACAATAAGATGTGTGCACTTGGAGAGTAAATTTCTTTCCTTTAACAAAGAAGCGGAGTGTAAAATATCTTTTCAGCCCAGAAAGATTCACACTTGAATTATTAAAATGGATATTTAGCTCTTAAATTACAAAATATGCAATATTATGCAACTAAACGTGTCAACCAAAAACCCAAAACGTGCGTGCAATTTATCCCGAAAAGGCCAACACGTGCAATTTATCCCGAAAAGGCTCAATTTTTTTTTTGTTATTTGGTAATGATGACTTCCAATTTTTTATTTATTATTTATTTTTTTTTTTTTGGGTCCTCCCCTTCCTCGCCGTTAAGGCTATACTGGGTTTTCCCGAGCCAGGGAGTGTGGGCAGGGATTTAAAAGACTCCTTCGGCACCGGGACGCGAACTCGTGACTATTTTTATATCATTTGATTGATATATCAGGTTTCCTGGCTGTATGACTTCCAACTAACAACAATTGAATTTATTTGTAGTTTTTTTCAAATTACATGTCAACGTTTCGGTATATTTACTCCCATCTTCAGAACTACAATCCCAATGATTTTTTGTTGATACATTGCTAAAATCTAATGTGCTCCATCGTCAGGTTCTAATTCAAGTTATAATAAATTAAGGTATATAACATCCAGAACAACATTTTGCTTTTAGACCAATTATTGGGTGTCTGCCCTTGGGGTGCCCAAGTTAAATATAACATCCATTCTCAACAAAACTCAGTGGATACACGACCATTCCATATGTATGCTTATCATAAAATAAGCATAAAACTAGAAAAGATACATAAGGCAATTATATTATAAATGAAAAAATTCAAACAATCTTCTCTTTCCTCCAGTATGTATTTAGATGTAAGATGTCTATCGCAACAATATTTTTTCTTATTTCTTCTTTTCCTTTTTTGTTTTTTTTTTCTTTCTGCGTATTGCAAGTGATTTCGATTTGTCTGCGATGATGATGTCTGAGTTGGAAAGTTAACTATTTACCTGTATGTTTGGAGACTCTTGGATTAGTTTTTTGGATGTTTCCATTTATAACAATATTTAACGGAAGGAGATGGTCCGGGGTTGCGGTCATAAAAAGGCTAAATAGTGGTAAAACTATTTTATTGAACACACCTCCCTGATGAAGACCTGCAAAGTCGGGTCGAAACGTTGGCTTTCAATAAAATAGTTTTACCACTATTTAGCCTTTTTATGACCGCAACCCCGGACCATCTCCTTCCTTTATAATGCAACGGTCAACTATTAAATATTCAACAATATTTAACAATAACGCCGCTGTTAATAAAGTTAGATAATTGTGTTTCCGATAGTTTTTGAAATATCTAAACGCACCTTAAGAATAACAAAAATACAAAAATTTTAGAGCAGCGTTTGTCTGGCTCCATTAATTTGAACTTTTTTTGTACAATGTGCGGTATTCGATGTTTATATATTGTGCGATATTCGGTTCAGCATTCTGGTGAAAACAAAATAATAAGCACCTAAATTTTATCTTTCCCAAGCAAATATTATCGTTCCGCTGTAATGATCAAATTATTTTTAATTATTGTTAGCCAAATACTTCAGAAATCATTAATAGTGAGTTTATTGAGGTTGTGTAATGTCTGATTCAGAAGGCTAGATCGCCCATTACATAAGTTTTCAGATGAAGTTCGTGTTATAATATTCGGAAGAGATGTAGAGCTAGGTGTTACAGCGTGGTGGTGGAGAGGCTCGTTGCCAACGTATGTTTGGCCTTTGATAAGGGCGGATGTAACCAGCTCAGGTGTGTTTGCTCGCCCGTGGGCCCACATTTTCCATATCTCTCCCCGGCGGTGTACCCTTTACGGCCAGTTACCTCCGGGGCTTAGCGGTCGAGTCGGGGTCTTCTGGTCGGAGGAATGTCCGTTAATAGTCGGCAAGGAGGAGGCCGGATGGAGGCGGAAGGAACTACAGAGTTTAAGATATAGCAAATGTTTTAGTAACGGAAAAACGGAACGTTGCGAATCTGTCAACGGACATGTAAAGTTGAATTTTTCAATTGATAAATCATTTATTTATATAATAGGAGGTATTCCCTGTCTGCCTAAGAGTGGACCAACCCCCCTTTTACAAACTATACAACTATAAATTTAATTGAATATTTAATAGTTGACCGTTGCATTATAGAGAAAGGAGATGGTCCGGGGCGGCGGTCATAAATAGCCTAAATAGTGGCAAAACTATTTTATTAAAAGCCAACGTTTCGACTCGACTTTGTAGGTATTCTTAAGAGAGGTGTGTTCAGCTAGGAATTTCATTTAGAACTTCAGTTCTAACACCTCCCTGAAGAAGACCTGCAAAGTCGGGTCGAAACGTTAGCTTGTAATAAAATAGATTTGCCATTATTTAGCCTATTTATGACCGCCACCCCGGACCATCTCCTTCCTTTATTAATTTAATTGTACTACTTGTTACTCGAATCTTACAACTGTAATTTAAATGTATTCTGTAGTTCAGATTGTATTATATTTATCAACATGTAATAAACGAAATGAAACCATGGTTCGGATAAATTTGTAATTTATTTAAGAATCAATATTGTGAATCGCGCATCATTGCCAATTTATATTATTATATGATTATTCTTATTGCCTTATTTGTATAATAAGGGAGAAATAATTCGGGTTTTAAGAAATGTTGTGTCTTTGTTACGGCCATCCCGCTGGTGTCTTTATTACGGTACGTCCCGCTTTCTATATGTAAAATAAAATATGACATTCACTAAAAACTTTTTTATACAAAAGAGAGACACGATGACACGCAATCAAAAATCGACGTTGGTCTAGATAAATAATTGTTAGTGATTTGTTTTATTTTACTTTTTATTATATTTTTTTATCTCCTTCTCTCATACCGCAACCTTGTACGGATGTGGTGTGTTTGTTAATTTGCACATGGTCCATGCATTAACCGCAATACATGTATTAATTTAATGAGATATTACTTAGTTCTTATAAAAGATATTAAATTGTGATAGTTATAATATAAATCGGTGAGATATTAGTAATAATGAAAAAGAAAATCAAGTATAATTAACATAAGATATGAATTGCAAAATATCGAACAGTTCAAAGTTTCGTAATTAAGCACATGATAAAACAAAATAAGAAAAAACATAAACTGCGATCTATTTGGAGCAGTTGAAGTTAAAGTAAACAATAAATTTCTTCACCTCCCCTTATTATATTTCTAGAAAATACCCTTTTCCTTGAGCTCTTTTCTTCTTTCTCTTGTCTTTATAGAACTGCACTTCATATTATTAATAATAATTACTGTCGAAAAAAGGGTAGTCAGTAAATACAAAGTCAGGCAATACAGAACAAAATAAAATGTTTGACACGTTTGTCCGTCACAGTGGCAATCAGAATTCATCAGATGAAATCGTTTTTAAAATTTGCTTTGTCCACAAATTTTGGTATTTAAAATGTTACTAACTGTATATCATTGTTATAAAATTTTAATTTCTTTATTTGATTCTTTATTCTAAATTTATTTTTTGTATCATTTTATTATTTATAATTTAAATAATTTTATTCCAAAGGTCACAAAAAAAAAATGTTTTATACAGATAATACTGCAAATTTAGTCAAGAAACCGAAACTTCGCCAGTAAAAAGAATATAATGAACACATATCTTTTTGGTGGTCCTTGGCCAAAAGTTAAATAAATATTCTAATCCTTTTCTTTTTTTTTTTTTAAACTTTTTTACTGCATTTTATAATTGGTCTGAATATAACTTTGGGAAAATGTTTCCTAAAATTTTTAAGTTTGAAGTTAGGCTTGTTCAATGCATACAACTTAATCTGATACATCTAACTTAATACTCCTACAATTTAAAGATAAACTAAATTATTTTAATTACCTTATTTGATTATATTATTTTTGTTCATAGTTTATTTATTTAATTTTATTTATATCTTTTCAACATTTTATTTTGCCGAACATGAATACAATGAATCCACGACTTTATACCCATTTGAGAATTTACTCTAAACATTTATTATTATTATACACTTTTCTCCGCATTTGTTCTATTACGTACCATAACTCATAAATATGAAAATAATTAGTCATTAGAGATGACAGCTCAGCAGGTTTCAATATTCAGTGACAATATCACCAAGCTAGTGCTGCGTTGTTATTTCCAACTGTTATGTAACAAAAACAGTCATCAACTATTTTTTTTAATTTAATCACGATAGTTTTGTTTTTTTTGGGGGGGGGAGGAGACGATTAATTAGAAATAGTAATGAGTATCAAATAAAATAATTAATGAAACCATAATTTAATTTATAATGTTGTATAACTTGTTTAAATATATATAAAAACATTGGATTAAAGACATTGAATGTATCTTAAATTATATTATCTTTTTATATAAATATAAAAATTAGAAAATATTCGTTTGAAATTGTAAAGAAGAAAACTTTTTTGCAGGATGCTAACAGCACAAATAATGACCAAAAATGAGTTCAAATTTTACTTTGAATTTTAATGATTGGACGGTTTTATTCGACCCATATTTTTATATCAATATTGACACATCCTTTATAGAGTTGCATTAGATTTTGTTAAAATTAAGGACATTGGTAACAGTGATAAAAGAGTTCATTCAAATCCTATTTAAAATAAACCAATTAACAGCGATATAATAATGTTAAAAATAAATATAAATATAAACAAACAAGAAACTTAAACTAATCAAAATAAGAACTTAAATACCGATATACTTATATAAAATATTTACAAACAAACCAAACAAATCCTGTTAATAATATTAATAAAAGATTCGTTTTATGATGTATAAAATCTAATTTATGATGTATATTTAAATGTAAAAAACAGGTCAAACACTTAGCAGTGTTGTTGAGTATTTGTTACGATAAGGACCAGTTAATTTCCAACAAAGGCTATGGCAACAAACTAATTTGTACAAGTTGTTTGTGGTCCCTCCCCCAAGGCAACCTAACGCCACTAATAGATGTATCATCTGCTTTCGACTAGGCCCGACCGTAAATCTGCCACCGGCCCGAGGGTTGTGACAAGGAGGACGATATGCGACGCCTTCTCGTCTTTCCCAAGAACCTGCTGGGTTGAGGGCTTACAGCTGATGTCACTGGCTGAGGGAGTACCCAACTGCAGGGGTGCCCAGAAGGGGGTTACATGGCACAAGTTGCGCCATCGAAATTTTTGAGGGAGGCATATTTTGACGGCTTTTTGAATTTTTGAGGGGGGTAAATTTCTACGGGGTTATGAATTTTCGAACTAAGGGATAAGGTGGGGGGAAATAGAATCACATTAAGTGTAATTGTATATGATCTACGATTTTTCTGTTTTTAAGAAAAGGTGAGAAATAAAATATCTTGGGAGGAGGGGGAGGGAGCTGGCAGATTCTTGAGCTATCGTCCTTGGGGGGGGGGGGGGGGATGGGCATCCCTGCCTAAATGTATAGTCAACCTGAGTCCGATGTTGAAACAGATTTCTTACAACTGCAAAATCGTTCTTAGGTTTTAATTTCACTTGATGAACTTTATTCTCTCTAATAGCACAAAATAATTAAACAGTTAACGTTCCGCCACTTTAGCCATTATCAGGGTTACGATGATAATAATGTTGTTCTCTTTCGCATTATTATCATAATTACACACCACCAATATAATTCACACAATAATTACAGAAACCACATATATTATTACAGTAAGGCTCGAAATCGGTTTGATATTAAATATAAGCTCCTGTCATGCTCAAATACCACGAATGAGGTACAGTTGAATTCAGAATCATACTCTCCGCTTTTGTTTTTCTTTTTAAAATGCATAAAGTCGAAATAAATATTTTGCTAGGCTTCAATTTTGAAACGGTGGTAAGTCTGTTGATCGATAAGGAACAAATTGGGCTTTGAAGATTTTGATATGTACACCAAATTACATAGTTCCGAAAGTGAATTCGCCAATGTAACTTATTCAGAAACCTTATAAACTTATTTTTTTATAAAATAAATTTCTGAAATAATAGGTATTAACCATCACAAAGTAATAAATAGATTATTCAAATTCTCGATTTTATATATTTACAGAGCTGACGAAGCAGCGATACTGCGACGCTAGTTTGCATTATATATAAAATTAAAATCATACATTTTACTTTTATAATATCAATTGTTAATGCACCCGAGGTAACATTCCTACATGAAAAAACGTCCTCTTTTTTAGAACGTTCGATATAAATGTTGTAGATTATGATAAGATGCAGTCGTTCACGAAGTTTTTGATGGATGTTCAAAATTTGATTAAAGGGGTCTGTTTCGCGGATTATGATTAGTGTTGCCCAAAATCGGTCTTGGTCTTGCAATTTTACAAGACCAAGACTAAGGCCGTCTAACTGTTGAAAAAACCTAGACTGCTAAAAAAAATCGATTTTTTTAAAATAAAAATTAAAGCAAAATAGTTACTTACACTTGATTACTGTATGCATAGTTACTATATGTAAAGAATTGGTATAAACAACATACTTTTGCATTTAACTCTTCTGATTTGTCATTCGGGATTAGTAATATCTATGTAGTAATAAGCTAATAACTGCAAAACTGTTGCTAGACTCTTGCACTCAGACCAAGACTGAGTGCGCAAGACTCGCCTTGGTCTCGCATTTGGGCAACGCTAATTATGACAAGTCGGTCGGGCTGTAGTCGAATACCTGAAAAAATTTTCGAAACCTAATCTGAGAACGAATCTCATCCTGAATCAGCTAGTTCCCCATTTGATTCCCGGCTATCCCATTTGATCAGCAATCTAAAACTGCTAGCAAACAAATTAAACAATTGCATAAAAATCTGTCCTCAGATAATGAATCATCCAAGTCGTGTATCTACAAAACATTATCAGGAATACGATTAGTTAGAGTTAGATAAAGGTTAACGGAATCAGCTTGGAAGAGATAGGAGAGCTGATAGGTAGAGAAAGAGCATTATCGATGAGAACTTCTAGGTGGAGCTGACGGGACGATGGAGTGCTACGCCGAGGGCAGGGAGTGCGTGAACTGCGGCGCGATCAGCACCCCGCTGTGGAGAAGGGACGGTACCGGCCACTACCTCTGCAACGCCTGCGGCCTCTACCACAAGATGAACGGCATGAACAGGCCTCTGGTCAGGCAGCCACGGCGACTGGTAAGCCCCAGCCAATCCCAACAGCCGCAAACACTTTTAAGGTTATGACTCCCCAGCTTTTGTCCTCAAGTTTAAACCACATTTTTCTACATTCTTCCGCAATCCTCCAAATGAGATGTGTACACCTTTTTCTTTCTTTCATTTTCATATTTAAGGTTGTACACATACTCAAAAACCATATTTCATACATATGTATAGTTAATGTTAACATTAGCGAGGTGGACTATTGTGGTTTAGACTTAACAAAGAGTTTCTATTTTAACCATAACCGTAAAAGTTTTGCACTCGGCGGTGGAGAGCTGGGGCTAGCCGTTCTGAGCTGTGCCTCTTGATGAAATGTAAATTAACGAATCCAAATTGTGTGTTGCAGTGGCTGGTGTTAGTGACGGTTACAAGCCACAGTTATACCACCAGGCGTCCTCAGCTCTCTACCCTCGATCTCAAGTGTCCTCTACTTACGATGACAAACCCAACAGGCGGCTGGTAACTAACTTTATTTAATTATTTTAACTAATAGTTTGTGTGCCTACTTAGTTTTAAGTTATGTCTATTATTTTTAATATTTGTGGGATACTTGCATGAATTTTCAATTATCTTTTGTAAAGTGATTAGTTCATAATTTAAAAAACTCCAAAATTATCTCCATGTATATCTGCAGCGATAAGTAGCGTGCAAGATCACGGATCGGAGTAGTTGAGTTTGTTACCAACTACAACCCGAAATCGTCTAGCCATCAAAACTTACATATAAACCCAGGTTTTCACATTTCAAAAACAACATAAACACAAACGATAAACGCTATTAATAGGAGGTTTGCGGGGTTTTGTATTTTCAGAGAAACCAAAGGACGCAGAAAACCACATTTGCACTAAAACAATAGTAGTCTGTGGCACAGACCTATTTTTATGAAATTATTAAACATCCACCTGAAAGTATTAAACAGCTTTATCCATCGTAACCTACAAATATTTTATTTGCTAAAATTCTAAGAATTGGGGAGTTTTCAATCTTTTTTTTGTTGGATAACCCCCATTTTAACCACAGTGGAAGAGGGTCTAGTTTCATTCCGTGAGTCCGCCAGGAAACAAAAGTCAACCAATCCCAGGCCGGATTCGAACTGACTTCGCTAGGCACCAGGATGGATGCTTGACCAGACAACGCTCCAACACACTCGGCCACCAGAAACTCAAGCCGTTTTCAATCTGGAGATCTGCAAACTTTATCTATTTAATTAGATACTGAAACCCATAAATACCCATCTAGTTGGTGTGACCTCCATTCCTCAAAATAACGAGGTTATATTGGCCAAATAGCCCAATATTTTTGTAGACCCCCTTTTTTTCCAATTCGTGATATTATCTTACGATTTACACAGTTTGAGGCGGATGTTAATAAGTTGATAAAAAGGGGTCTGTATCGTGCACTAAAGTAATTTTGATATTGCTGTACAATTGTCACTCCACTTTGATGAGTGGGCCAAAATCTTGAAGTCGGTAATTGAAACCGAGTCCACAGTATAACATCCATTTATTTATATTGCAATTTACGTCTTCCGAAAAATTCCAACTGGACCTGTTCAGTTAAAATTGGAACGTTAATTGGCATAAATTACATTGCTGCTTTCATCTCCCACTCACAACAAACAAAGAGATAAACAAATCCCCAACAGATCCTTTTAAGTTGAGACTGGATCCTTACTATGTGATTTCATCACTTCTGTCTACTGTCAATCATACTCCATTATTCCATAAATGGTGTGATCAAGAGATCTTGTACTATCCATCAAACTAGAGTGACATTTGTACAGTAGTACGAGAAACTTTATTTAAATCTCACCAGAAACCCACACATACTAAGGAGACATTTCAGAAAATATGGGAAACACAATTATTTAACTTAACTAACAGCAACATTATTGCTAAACCACACTATTTATTTTATTTCTCTTGATACCAACAGCAGATTGAAAATATCAAAAACAAGAAAAAAAATACTTGCATAGTAAAATAAGCATTTATATATTTGTTTGTCCCTTACTTTGTGAAATGTCTAAACACACCTTAAAATTCAACATCTCTCAAGAAACAAACAGCAAAGAAAAGTTTAGAAGCAACACTAAAGCTAAATAATCCTCAATTTATTTCATTTGAAAAAAATTAACGCAGAGGGGAAGATATCACATGGGATGAGATTTCAAACAGACCTGACTTTTGAGAAATACCCTATTTACACCTTCGATTTTTTAAATATTTTGTGACAATTATAAAAACAGCTTCAGAGATTTGTTTTTCACTTTATCTGATCTGATTTAAAATATTTAGTTTGAAATGTGTCTTAAGGCCTTTATTTAATATATTAGCTGCAAAAATTGAAACAGTATATGAGGAATACATGTCATAGTTATGTCCAATTTTCTTCGAACTATTATTTCAAGTTATTATTTGAGTATGAAATATTTTTATTATATAAAAAATGCAATCTCAATATCATACTGTGTATTTACCACATGAATTCTATTGTGGCTCAAATTTTCCAAAATTTTAATTTTCCATGCAAGTATCCCATTGGTCAGTGTATGAAATCATAATAAGTGGAGTTGGATATCATGAATAATAAGTGACATAAAATAAGTCTTACTGCTTGATTGATAGTATAATTTCCTAATGTGAAATCTTGCTTTAGTTTACTTCTAGAGATCAAATTATAATTATTCACTCTACCAAAAGAATCATTTTACATGTTTCACTAAATCATCATAAAAATGCAATTGAAGATTGAAAACCATGATTCACTCAAAAGATTTATTTCTTGAGATGTATTTAAACATTACACAAACTATGGAAAACACAATTATCTAACTTAGCTAATGGAGACATTAGCACTAAGCCAAACTTTTTTCTCCACTTATTAACAATAGCAGATGGAACAAATCAAAAACAAGAAACAAAAATACTAGCATGAGGAAACAATCATTTAAATATCTGTGTTTTCCATAATTTTTGAAAAGTCTAAACACATCTCTTAACTAACTTAAATAATGAGAAGAGTGGTGACTGTTTGACTCAGGTGATTCACCAAACTCACCTATCTGACTTTTTCCCCACACGACTCTGACCAATCTCTCATTTAATGCAATGACCTATAAATCAATCATGATTGGATTGTCCGTCTCTATTAATATTGGGAATGAAAAGAGATATTTTACTAATTGATTGTTGTACTTTGAATAAATTCTACAAAGTAGAATAAAATCATCCAGAGCAGCAAGATGCAATTACTCTCCCAAAAAGAGGCAGACATTTGCCATGATTCTTTGATACAATAAAATGGTTCATCTCTTTAGCTCACTAAGAAATTTACGATACTGAGGAGTGGAAATCTTTATTCCCAAAAAATATATCTACCTGCAGGACTTATAATAAAAGTGAAATGAATGGAGATTGTTCGATCCAGGTAGATCAAATTATTCAATCATTTGCCTTTTCTTCCACATCATCGATTAATCATTCGATACAAATAATATTCTTTGAATCATTCATAATTAGATCATCTTTGTCTATTCAGATCTGTGAGAGTAAAATGTGATGTTTAAACTAAAGGTTCATTACATCATTGGTATATTCTATATATCTGATAAAGTATACTAATGTATTCGAAAGCAGTAAAAAGTGGCTGATATACCTAGTAATTAATGTTAGACTAGAGTATTCAACCAAAATATAAATGCTGATAACATATAAAATAAAATATATTAAAAGCCATAGAAACACAGATTCTGTAAATTATTTCTTATGATGACAAATAAATATTATTAAAAAAAAAAGAAGAAAAAAAAAGTAAGGATTCAATAACTTTAGATCTCTTTTAGTTAAGGTGATATTTGTATATGTTTTTTATTTCTATTCTTCTTTTATTTGAAAGTTCAAAAGTTTTTATAATAAATCTTTAATGTAAAATTCAAATAAAAGGTCCTACTTCATCCTTTATTAAGATAAGTCATAATTTATTTAAATAAATAAATAAAAATGTATAACAATTATATAAAAAACGGCTATAGTAATAAATATTTCTTAATAAAACGATTCTTTATTCTAAGAATGAGAAGGGACCAAATTAAATAATTAGTTTCTTAATGCAAAGTTTTTTTCTGAAATGTAATTGAAATATTTTTATCTTAGTCTGCTTCAAGAAGAGTTGGTTTGACATGTTCAAACTGTGGAACCAGCACAACATCCCTGTGGCGAAGAAACACAATTGGCGAGCCGGTTTGCAATGCATGTGGGTTGTACTTTAAACTACATGGAGTCAACAGACCTCAAGCAATGAAGAAAGACAGCATTCAGGTACTATATACTTTTTAAATCTTCAAATTATACTATCATTTTTAATTTTATAAATCAATAATTAATGTAAAAAGTATTATAGACAGTGTGATTGTAAATTTAAGATATTTCTTTGAATGGAATATTCCAGTGTAGTTTCAATTTCTGCTAGAAACTACTAATATTTTTTCATCTGAAGATAGGCATTAGGTATTGACAAAAAGGGTCCAAAAGCCCACTAGTTAAATTTGTTCATTCACCAGTACGGTTGTTAAATTTGAAAGTGTTTTGTAATATACCTAATAAAGTAAATTTCAAATGTATATTTTCAGGATAAAAAGTTAAATAATTCAATCGCAAACAATGTATTATACTTATATAAAGTAAAAACATTCCATTTGATAGATTCTGAAATATTGACGTAAAATGATTAAGACGTGAATATCATAACGTGTATCACTTTTTTCATCCAGCAAGTAAAACTTGTTACTTTTGTGTAACAATACTCAGATTTAAATATAAGTTTAATGAAATTTATTTTATACGTTACTAATTTATCTTATTTTTTTTTTAGACAAGAAAGCGAAAACCCAAAGGCAGTAAAACAGAAAGGGCAATAGCAAATCAGATTAAACTGGAACACAATGGTGAGTAATTGTTCATTCAACAATTGTATGAGTAATTGACAAAAGAAATTATAACCATCAGCATCTCTTTCCTCTGAGACCATTTATTCGAACTGCCATTTCAGTTTTGAGTATTAATCATGATACTGTAAGACTAACTATTAAAACTATTATATATTATCACATGAAACATCAGATCGAGTGGGATAAACATAATGAAAGCTATCAAACTTGAACCTTAAAAAAAAATGTATAGAAAAACCTTCATACCACAAAACTTGAAGTTCCTTAGTACCCTCAAATTAATCAGCTGACAAATGCCTCTTTTTAAGACCTTGAAATATTTATAGAAAAAATAAACTGTTGGTATAAAATTTGTAGTAGTTGATTCTGGCTTAAATGAAAAAAAAACTAAATTGAAATTAGAAACTATAATTAAATATTGTGTAAATATATTTTATACATGTGTTAAAAAGAAAAATGAGTTGAATGAAAAAAAGAAAGTGATTCACAGTTAAACTTACAAATTTTAAAGTAACTATTGCTAATAATTATCTAGATTATGGACAAAAACATTCTGTCACACAACTATTAAAATGAGTAATATAAATCTTTGTTAAGTAGGTTATTAAATACAAAATGCAAAATTACATGTATTTTTTTATTTTTTTTAATTTTATAAAGTATCAATAATAGCCAATAATATTGTATTCGTCTCAAAACTGGAATTTCTCACCAGAAACATATTAAGAAACAACTTAAACACATCAACAAAAAAAACAACTAATATTTGTGCTTTAGACCGTACATAGAACTGAAAACATCAAAGTGAGATTAATAATATGAAATGTAAATTATAAATAATAGCTCATTATAAAGAGGATAAAATACTGAACATTTTCTTGCTTACAGTATGGCAGCCGATTTTTAGTTTCTGAAATATTTTAATCCAAATCTTCAGTAAAACTCGTTATCGTTTGGTTTTTGACACTATTGTTTCCTTTTCGCCTCCCTAACACAGTATCGCATTAGGATTTAGCAATTTTGAATAATAGCTCGTTACGAAGAGAATGAAATGATAAACATTTTCTTTCCTAAAAATATGCAGGTCAAATTTTTAGTTTTTGAGATATTTTAATTCATATGCAAAAATACTTCAATTAGTCAACTCCAGTTGACTTTACCCAAACGTTACTCATCGGAAATCTGTTGGCTCAATCTAATTCACTCTCCATTTAAATGCCTAATGAATTGCTCAAAACATTGTCTTCAGGATCTCAAGAGATATGCATATTACTCAGTATTATTACCACTGAGTTGCAGTGGCTCTATCCATCCTACCACCGATAGTACTTCCTTGCTAGCTCCCTATACCAGTCCATTAAAAGTCAGCAAACTTCCTATATTCTTCAGAGCCTACAATTCAGATCCCCTATTCAATCCCTTACTTTTGACCTCTATCTTCCTCCTCACCGAACTGCTGTTTGACAATTCCATTGTAATTCAAACCAACTTCTTTTGGAATTCTATCCCTACCAATGCACATGCACAATGAATTTTCTCATTTAAATCTATCATTTTTAAGCACCTGCTCCTTTTCTAACTGGACTGATCACGGAATGAACATAAGAGAACTTTTTAATTATTTTGTTTACTTATGCTGTTTTATATATATCTGTTTTTTTATTTCTGTTTTTTTTTAATTAGATATTATTTTGTAAATATTCAATTTAATCTATGGCCACAAAGGCATTTTATCTGTATTTAGAATTTGTTCTAAAGGGACAACAGTCCCAGTGTAATAAAACATTTTCACTATGACCCATGAAGATTCTTTGATTCAGTAATTTTTTTTTCCCTCCCTTACTAAGCTCTACGGGGCTGTTCAAGGCCCCAGGGAGAGGGTGGGGGTTTACTGCAAGAGTTAAACGCCCCCAGCACCAGGAAGGAAACTAGTATATATTTCATCATACAATCTTCAGTTAATCAGGTTGCCGGACAACACGTATTTTGTGCAGGCATTAGCCTGCTCGGCCACTCTGTCTCCCCTTTCATTACTTATTTGTAAGGAATGTAGTTTCTGGACCAACAGTAGTTGCAAGGAGGTGATTCCAAGATCATGCTCAACTGCTAGCTTATTTCCCAAGTAAATATAGTAAAAGTACAGTGGCTATACCCACCTAACTTTTGACCTAACATTTGAATTTATAATAAAAACTACCTATCATTTACCTTACAAATAAACAAGTTTTGCTATTATTAAACCAAATCTTATTTACTGACTTAAATTTACATATTTCTTTCTGTGAGTACTTCTTACAAGTAACCATTAAATTTAACAGGTAATTATGGACAACCATTCAAAGGTTTAAGTCTAGTAATGGAAGGTAATTATTAATAGTGTTACACCACCTAGGGATAAATCCTCGGATCAGGGGACCCTTCAAGGGCATACCCAAGCATTATAACATGTGGGTACTTTTTTAATTAAGTGGAGGAATCCTGGTGGGTTAACATGGTTTTGGTCAAATCATCTCTTTATACAATCATTGGGAAAGAAATACTACTTTCTTATAACCAATGGTCTTGTAACCAAGGTCCTTCATGGGTTTTTAATGGCACAGGTTTTTTTTTTTTAAATTAATCACTGTAGGGTAGCAGTATCAGTAATTGACATTTGTAAAAGAGCTTCCTAAAATATTTTAAAGTAACTTAACTCATGGGTTAGCATAATCGAATATGTTCAATAAGGCTTTAGACTACTTTAGTTCTGAGGGTTTCACACACAGTATCCCATCAATTATTGGTATTATTAGTTTATAATTTTAACCTTCCTTTATTAATTATTTTTTCTCATTTGTAGCCCATAGGTCTATTTCAGTAAATTAAATACTCTTAGTTTAAAGTGTTGATGTTTCGAGAATTCTCCAGCATAGTTAGTCCTCTCTAATAAATTCGGTCAATGAAGGTTCAATCATTGACCAGCCTTATTAGAAGAATACTGGAGCAAATTATATGCTAGAGAGGGGTCTTCAAAATGTCCAAATAAAGAAAATGCTCCAAATTTACTAAACTAAACCTATGGACAACAAATGAAAAAAAATTATTATTGGCATTGTCACCCTATTTGATATTATTTGTCAGTTATCAATTAATTATAAATGCAACCATTTTAATGAGTAATACATATGCCATGTAGGCCTGAATGACCTGAGAGGATCAGTGAGCCACGCCTCCGGAGGTCTGGGGTACAGTAACATGCTGAGCTACACCAGCCACAACATACCGCCCCCTTACCTGGACATCGGGGCCAAGCAGGAGCACAGTGTAGAGACACCGCACATAGTCACCTCGCACAATACTAAGCAGGAGCGACCATCTGTCCTCGTATGACTACAAGGCAGCGATTTTCAGTCACCAATTATGCATCAAAAGGATGTTTTTCCATGTTTTTCCCACAACTGAATAGTTCAAAATTTTATGTTTTATTACCAAGTCGATTTTGGTAAATAGTCTCTTTTTTATTTGTTATATTGAAGGTTTTTCTTTTTAAGTTTTTTTTTTTTTTTATGTAAATAGACATTTTGCTAATATTATTTCTTTTCCGTCAAGCATAATTGGATGATGTCTTTCAATTGTGTAAATAAAACTTTAAATTATATTATTTATACTTTATAAATGATTAAAAATTTCATGTTTTATTACCAAACCTATTTTGGTATTATCATTTTTTTTTTCTGAAGTCTCTTTTATTTTATTTTTGGAAATTATTTTATTTATCTATGCAAATATTTTGTATAGTTTTTCGCTTGATTAAACATAATAGGATGATCTCTTTCAATTGTGTAGACAAAGTTATATATTATAATATTTATGTCACAAATATATACATATATGCATAAAAATTTTGTATAGTAAAAGACTTTAAGTATGTAAATAATGTATGCTTGTGTAAATATATAATGTACAATTCTATAGCTATTTCTTTGAAAAATGAACATTGACTTCCTGTGTAAAAGAAGTCATTAAATTTGATTAATAATGCGTATGTATATTTATAATGATTAATTATTATTATTTTATTTTTCTGTCGATATTGTTTTGTTGATAATGTTCCTTTGAATACACCGCATTAAAGTGTATTGTTTAAGATATTTTTATTATGAAATGAATAGAAAGTAATTTATACTTTTTCCAATGGATTTTTTCTTTTAATTTAATTAAATTTTCTTTATTGTTCAAAAAACTATTTTAAATAAATTTTGAAGTAGTTTTTTCATTATTTTTTTAAATATCGATTAGACAATTATAAGTAAATTTGATAAGAATAATAAAAAAAAAATACATATAAATATATTTATATATATAAATACAAAAATAATTGTAATAGCATAAAATTTGTAGATATGGAAAGTAAACAAATAAAATAAAATAAATAAAAAAATTGATGGCAACAAGATGTTTTAGTTATATGAGTATCTTGAACATATCTCAATGCGCTCTTATTTATTAGCGTTTTTACTATATGTATAATATTATTGTATGTAAATTGTTAAATTTTGAACTTATTTTCAATAAAAATTCTTAAATTCAATATTTATTTAAAAACTATTCCCAAGGTTATTATTAATAGACAGATACACCATTATATGATTAAAACATTTTTTAATTCCTGATTAATTGAATAATTTGAAATTATAGGATATTATTTAATTTATCAAAAAACAAAGAAGAGGTAGCAGTATAAAAAATTGAATCGCTTCAAGCATAAAGATTTTCCTTTATATCAAGTGAAATTTGGTAACTTAGGAGACAAATTTGTTGCCATTAATCTGTTCAGTTACAAGTTAAACAATTTAAGAACTTCTGAAATAAGGGATCCAAGTTCATTTTTTTTTTTTTTGTTTTTACTGTCACAATTAAAATATGATTCCAGTGGTTTAAACAACTTTTACTTAATAAAGTTTTAAAGATAATTTTTTTGATAAAATAATATATTGTTTCACCCAATAATAATAATAAATAAATAATTGTTCAGTAAAGGACTTTGAAACAGACTTTTGTCTTTTGGAGATAAGTCCCTTCTCATAGAATCCCTTCTGTACTTTGAAATGAGGAATCATCCACCCACAGTAGGTGTTACAAGGATAGGCCAGACAGTTTCTGGCATCTTCCCAATATATTTTTATGGGAGCCAGATTGTCTCTGCTCAACTCTAATATTTTACAATCATTTACTTAAATAGCTCATTAAAATTTTGAATAAAAAATTCAAGTAATAAATATCATTTGACTGATATAATGAAATTAAATTAATTATTGAAAAAAAAGGTGACTCCCACTTTCCTCTCCAATGCCACAAATGTGAACTATCTAAAGATAAAACTAATGGTTTACATTTAAACCATTTATTTTAATTTTTAGCGTCATGGAAGTTCCCTCTATCCCAGCAACAACAAAGATTTATTAAAATATTATTATTTTATGTAATCATCGTCACTCATTCATCCTGCATAGATCTAAAATACTTACTTTCTAAATAACTTCTAAATATTCCTACAAGTGATTTAGTATAACCTTTTCTTTCTCTATTATTGTGCTATCTAAAAACTTATGAATAGATAAATCTTTAACATCCTCTGATCATTTTTTTTTTCCAGTCCTCCACTTCCTCGCCTTTAGAGCTACACGTGGTTTTCCTGGGCCAGGGGGTGTGGGCAGAGATTAAAAGACTCCCCCAGGACCGGGACACGAACTCGTGACTATTTTATATCGATTGTATAATATATCAGGTTGCTGTACAACAGCAGTGCTGTGCTCACAGGTTAGTCCGTGGCCACCCTGCCCACGACATTCTCTGATCAATGAATCCTTAAGACATACATGAAGTTTTATATAGATTATGCCACCTATGGTTAATGATCATTTTATCCTCATCTTCATCAGTCACAAAAATTTACCAAGAGCTTGGCATTTATGTCTTCAACAAATATAATTTTAATTTAGGCTTAAAAACGATATGTTAACATATTAGGAATCTGCCAAGAAGTCAATTTTGGTCAAGAGATTAAAATTATCATTGTTTAATACCAGCCAGACCAGGTATAAAACCTCTTAATTTTTCTTGTAGTATTACGGTTCAAAGAGCATGAAATACTCCATCCATTGCAGTGCTATTTTAATTTTCTTTTCCTTTATCCTAATTGAGGTTATTCTGCAGGTAATCAAGCTATTCTAACCACGATGGAGATATAACCACGGGTCTGCCATGAAGTAAATCATCAACCTGCTCTGGCCTAACCCGAACAAGTGACACTAGACTCTAGGTTGACAAGGTTATGAGGCTTTAAGATTCTTGCCTATCATCTTTGCCATGGTCTATCAATACTGAGCAGTATTAGCTATGATAAAATTTTCCAAATTTACAATTCAAAATGACACTTTCATAATCACCCTCACCCTCCCTGATATATTATAAAATTAAGCAAAATAATTTATTTCAAATATAATAATCAGTGGTATAATCACCAAACTTGGTTATCTAAATCTTATTATTATTAAAATTGGCTTCCTATGCTGAATAAGACAATTCGAAATTCTAACTAGCATAGAAAATTCTTCAGACAGATCAGTGATAGGCTTTATTTGAGTGAGAATCTTGACTGAAAGACACATAACTTAAACAATACACAGTGAGTAGCAGAAAACAGAATGATGATTAATGAGACAAGCGCCAGAGTCCAGACGTAATTTAAACACTCTTTGAAAGTTCCTGGAGTTATGGTGGGATAGATATCTGTTTCATCTTTTAACTTTTGTTTAACATAAACCAAACTATAAAAATTTTATTTATTTTTAACGTTATGTTTGTACACATTAAAAAAGAGAGACAACTACAATAATATTGCACGGCTGCTCAACAGTGTCAGTTGATAAATCAAGCAGCATACTCTTCGGTCAATAAATATTATTTAAAAACCAAAACTGAAGAGTTAGATAAGACTATTGTAATATATAGCAAAAATGCTAAGAATAGCTCATAGAACAGTAATAATAATAAAAAACTAATATTTCTAAATTATTTCATGGAAAGAGCAACTGAGTGTGATTTTTTTATGGATAACTGTAGGAAATAAAATTATTTTTTTTTTATAATTCTAACTTTAACTTGTACCAATTTCAAGAAGAGTATAACAACAACTTTACTAACGAGTATCCCAAAATTTCTTTTTGGGATACTCGTACGCCATCACCTTTGGAGAGACACTTCCCTATGTTTTCAATAAAACTGGCCTGTAGTCAATACAATTAGGCTTAAGTTTAACTAAAGTATTGATATGTTTGCTTTACTGTTTAACTTAATTATAGTTTAGTCTATCAATAGGTATTTAAGATTATTAAGGACATTTTTAAATTTAGATTTTCCAAAAAAAGAAATTTTCAATTTCAACAAGTTGTACTAAAATAGCTCCAGCAAGTAAACTTTATTAAAATCAATCAATGAAGTTCAAAAGAGTACATAAACATTAAACATAGAGAGGGGGGAAAAAAAAATTTGTGACAGCAACTAATACTGGTCCCAATATCTTTTGGATGATTTCTGATGTGTATCTTTTGCCATTGTTCATGTCTCCTCTCCATCAAGGACTGGACGAATCAGAGTTTTGTACAGAGAAATTTATGTTTTTCTGGTCATTAACCTATTTGATAGATGTAGCCTCAATCTAAAGTAACATCTGTTAGCGGCTAATATCCTACTTTTGGTCTCGGCTTTGATAGAAATATCGCATGTGACTTGTGAACCAAGGTACGTAAATTCAGAAACCCACTCGAAGAGACAATTTCCAAATCCCACCTTTTCCCCAGGATGTCTTGGGTGCTGTTCAGCAATCATATGCTTGGTCTTATCATGGTTGACCATTAGAGCAAGTTTTCTTGCTGCTTCCATAAGAAAGAGGAATGCCTCTTCGACTGACTTTTTTGAGCATCCAATTATATCGATGTCCCCGATGTCCAATTATTCTAGGAACTGCACGGTTTTATTTATAATAGTAACTGTCCTCTGAATCCAGAAATCTCTTATAGCCTTCTATAGAGCCAGATTAAACAGTGAACATGCTAGTGCATTGCTCTGGCAGATTTCCTTTGTAGCCAAAAAAATAATGTCATCTATACTTTATTTTAATGTTAATTTATAATTAAAAAAAAAAAAAAAACAGACTGGAACCACTTCACCCTGACCCCAGGGCTGCCTGCATCCCCTCTCAGCAGGCCTAAAAAACTAATACTTATAAACATATTTATGTATCTGCCTAAAAACTAGTATTTAAATATCTGCCTAAGAACATTTTCAATAAGAATGAAGAGTAATAAATACTATTCTTAAGGGACAAT